AAGACTCCGCTCGCTTCGCTCGCTCCGTAATAAGGCGAGTAGAGATTGAGCTGATGGATTTTGAGGGTGATGATGGTATGTCTTGGTGTCCGGCAAAAGAATGGGATGCTGATGGCGTGTCGTAGTCGTGGGTTTCAAGCGCTGGGGATGGTGGTGCTGTTGGGTTGGATTGAGCTGGTGATCGTGGCTGAGGGAGGGTGTGAGGGAAGTGGGCCTGAGTGTTACGAGTGTCATGATAAGTCTGTTGTTTCGGTGTATGATGTGGAGCTGCACGTGGTGGTGAGGTTTGGTTGGCGGGGCTCATGGAGGAGGAATGATCAGCAGAGCCTCTTATTGCTACCGCGTTTCCGCGGATGACGGCAATAGAAAATTTTTGCCATAACCAGGCCGTCTCGCGCCTCTCGCCGGTTACTGCTGTGATCCTACGGCCGAGTTCCTGCACTAGGTTGATGGCACTGGGGCCAACAACGCCTGATGTTTCGACCGCCAATGGAACGAAAAGGTACTGGGATGATAAGGAGGCGTACCGCTGCACCTTTCGATCCTCTGCGGCCCGGGCCGCTGATCCTGGTTTTATTGCCGATTTTGTCAGGCTGCTTTCAGCAAAAGTATCCGTGCATGTCGCGTCCCAGATCAGGCATTTTCCGCCTTTAACCCTATTCCTGGCGGGCTCCGCCGGGACAAGAAACTGGCGGGGGGGGGGCCGATTCGGCCCCCCCTGAGATCTCGAGAACGAAGCAAGATAGCGACAAACGGTAAACGGCATCGGATACGCACGGTCAAGATCTACAATTTTTACAAAGGCCATTTTCAGGTCAGGTCAAAGATGACGTCACAGGGGTCGAAAAAGTCAAAATGGCGGCGCTAGATATGGAGAGAGTTTTTCTCGAATAACTTTCGAATTAGTCAAGATAGGAACAAACTAAGGGCATCATCGTGATCCTCTCGTCAATCCGCATCGAATGATATATATGTTGACCTCGCAAGGTCAAGGTCAAAGGTTGACCTCAGGTCACGTGACCTCGAGGTCATCATGTATATCATTCAATGCGTCTTGACGAGCTGAACACAATGAGACCATCCACGCGTCTGTATCTTGTTCCTGTACGGAGTTATTGACCAAAAACCTTTGGTGACCTTTGATGACGTCACATGACCTCACAGCTGCCCAACAGCAAAACAGACCTCAAGGTAGTGAAGGTTGATCGTATATGAAGTCATGTATGGTATATGGGGCCATTCCGACCCGTTTTAGTGGTAAAAACAGGGAGTTGATTTTTCCCCCATTGACTTATAATGGGGAGGTCGCGAAACTGACCTGACCTTAGGTCACCGATATAAAAATTCCGAGATATACAAATTGCACATACTGGTACCCTAACTAAAGCCTGAAGAGAAGAAATTGATCGGTCAAAAACTCTAGCTCTGGCGTGATTGCAAACTTTTTTGAGGTAGGGTCACCAAACCGCCTCTGGTGACCTGACCTGAGGTCAGATCAACTCAAAATTTTCAGATATGTTGCGTAGAAGCCTTTTAGGAAAAGTCAGAAAATTTGAGCTTCCTAGCTCAACGCGTTTGGGAGAAATAACCAAAAAACCTCAGGGGGGGGGGGGCTCCTGAGGCCCCCCCCCCCCCCGCCAGGAATAGGGTTAAAAGGGAATGTGGTAAGCCCGTCAGGACGCTTGCCGTCACCTCTGTCAAGGCCAGTAGGCTCGAGAACGGACGGGATGCCAGATGCAGCGAGGCTGCGCTTCACCAAATCGTTCAGCTCGGCATGGCGGGGGAATCGACCAGCACTTTTGCTGCAGGATAAGGCGTGATGACCCAACCTGTCAACCGGACGGCTGCATAAGCGACAGGCATGAGGCTCACATATAGCGGCGCCAAGACGGAGAGCCACTGCTATTCTTATGGATTCCGGGTCCAAAAGAAGACCGAGGCTGGGGACCGGTACTGCTTGAAGCCATGCGGCTGTGTGAGGCTGGGTGGCCAGTGGCGGATTTCAGGGGGGGGGGGGCAAAATGGGCATTTGCCCCCCCCCCCAAAACGGCATGATTTTAACCTTCGCCCCAGTGGGGGGGGGGGGCATATGTTACCACCCTGTCGCGTTTTTCGCGTGTGAATAAAAAATCGCGGCGCGTAGCGCCGCGCCGCTTGGGGTAGCTTTTGGTACATCAATTTTGGACAATGTGTGAAATTTTTGACCCCAGGTCATGTCAGGTCAGGTCACCAGGTCAAGTTAACTGACCAAGCCTTAAAAAAAGTTTGCAATCATGTCCAGCCTGCAGTGTTTATCAGAAAGGTATTAAACTTGGTGGATTGCATGCTGTTATGGGAGCCTACAATTTGTATATCTCGGATTTTTTATATCCGTGACCTAAGGTCAGGTCAGTGGCATGACCTTTCCATTACAAGTCAATGGAGAAAAATGAAAATGCCTCTAGATCCGTGTGTACGCACAGGAACAGTCCAAATATTTCAGAATCACAATGATTTAGTCCACTCGTGATGACCAAGGTGTCATTTTTGCTGATAGCCTCTAGAAAGGTCATCCGAGGTCATTTGAGGCTACAAACAGTTTTTTGCCAATAACTCGCGATTGGAAAGAGATAGAACGCTGGGGATGGTCTCATTGTGTTTGTCTTGTTGAGACGCATCGACTGATATGCAACATGACCTTTTCCGGTCAGGTCATGACCTTGACCTGAGGTCAAATTTTTAAGTTGACCTTCCAAGGTCAAATTATAGTTCATTCGACGCGTCTCGGTGAGGGGAACACGATTCTGGCAATAGAAATGTCGTGGCTTTTGTAGTCGAAAGTTATTGTCGAAAAACACTTTTCGTAAAAACAGCTATTTTTGGAGTTTTTGCCCTCTGGAGGCTAAACCGTTGACCTGAGGACAATATTGATAATGACCTTTTCAAAAGAAGAGTTCAAAAGCTATCGATTGCTTTTCCATGCGTTTTTCTAGCTACCATAGTCCCTGAGATAGCGGCATGTTTTCTGAAAAATATAATGACAATTGGCAAATTTTGACCTTTGATGACCTCTGGTGACCCCAATATTGCTCTAAGGTAAAAAATGACCGAAATACATTCAAACGTACGTATTGAGAGCTATCGACTGCTTTTTATCGCGTCTTTCTAGCCCTCTTAGTTTTTGAGTTAGAGGTGGGTGGTAACATATGCCCCCCCTCACTAGGGCGAAGTTGGCCGAGACCGCCACTGGGGCGCGGGTTAACATTAACCCGCGCCCCAGTGGCGGTCTCCGCCAACTTCGCCCTAGTGAGGGGGGGCATATGTTACCACCCACCTCTAACTCAAAAACTAAGAGGGCTAGAAAGACGCGGTAAGAAGCAGTCGATAGCTCTGGATGCGTACGTTTGAAAGTATTTCGGTCATTTTTCATCTTAGAGCAATATTGGGGTCACCAGAGGTCATCAAAGGTCAAAATTTGCGAATTGTCATTATATTTTTCAGAAAACATGCCATTATCTCAGGAACTATGATAGCTAGAAAAATGCTGGGAAAAGCAATCGATAGCTTTTGAACTCTTCTTTTGATAAGGTCATCATCAAAAATGACCTCAGGTCAACGGTTTAGCCTCCAGAGGGCAAAAACTCCAAAAATAGCTGTTTGTAAGAAAAGTGTCTTTCGACAATAACTTTTGACTTAAAAAAGCTAGGTCATTTCTAATACCAGAATCGTGTTCCTCTTGCCGAGACGCGTCGAATGAACTATAATGTGACCTTAAAAGGTCAACTTCAAAATTTGACCTCAGGTCAAGGTCATGACCTGACCGGAAAAGGTCATGTTGCATATCAGTCGATGCGTCTCGGCAAGACAAACACAATGAGACCAACCCCAGCGTTCTATCTCTTTCCAATCGAGAGTTATTGGCAAAAAACTGTTTGTAGCCTCAAATGACCTCGGATGACCTTTCAAGAGGCTATCAACAAAAAAGACACCTTGGTCGTCACGGGTGGTCCAAATCATTGTTATCCTGAAATAGTTGGACTGTTCCTATGCGTACACACGGATCTACAGGCATTTTCGTTTTTCTCCATTGACTTATAATGGAAAGGTCACGCCACTGACCTGACCTTAGGTCACGCATATAAAAAATCCGAGATATACAAATTGTAGGCACCCATAACATCATGTAATCCACCAAGTTTGAAACCTCTCTGACAAACACTGCAGGCTGGACATGATTGCAAACTTTTTTTTAGGCTTGGTCAGTTAACTTGACCTGGTGACCTGATCTGACATGACCTGGGGTAAAAAATATCACTTATTGTCCAAAATTGATGTATCAAAAGCTACCCCAAGCGGCGCGGCGCTACGCGCCGCGGTTTTTTATTTATACGAAAAAAACGCGACAGGGTGGTAACATATGCCCCCCCCCACTGGGGCGAAGGTTAAGAATCCTGCGCAGGGTTAACATTATGGACGATGCATGGAAAGAATCGATACATTTTTATGGTTTGCCCCCCCCCCCCCAAACCTCTGAGCTGGATCCGCCTCTGTGGGTGGCGGCAAGTAAACGAGCTCTGTGGATTTGATTTGTTTCGCGGAGTAACTGTTTGTAGCTAGCCTCCGATGCCAGGTCGTCCCAAGCCCTCTGCTGTCCTGGCATAGAGGGGTCGGGGAGTGTTGCCTCACCGATTAAAGGGAGGAGTCGGTGAAGCGCAGGTTTCCTGGCCAGTGTGACATCATACATGTTTCCTAGATTGGAAACATGTATGTAGAATGTTCAAATGGTTTCTTAATCTGAACGACATATTTTCGCACATTTTACGTTGAAATCCTGTTTTCAAAAATGAGCATAAAACATAGTATCGGATTCGGGACGGATTCTTTCAACACATATATCAGCAACCAAGTATTTAGTGATGTTATCCTAGCTAGAGAAATATTCAAAATATCGTCGAAATTCCCTATAAATCTCATTTCACAAATCTGGCAACCAAACCAGGGCTCTGCGCAGGCGTCTATTTTTATGCGGTTGAGAGAGCACGATTGTGTGTTGGTGGATTGGACATATTGTGCGGATAGTTTCAGTGTGAGAATAGTGATCTTAAACATACATACAGTGCAATAATATCGATCAATACCGGATTGTGCGAACGTGTTATCACCTTTTTTGGCTTCGTGAATATGGCGGACGACTGCAGCAGCTGACAACGCAAGACAAATCCGAAGCGCATTGTGGTGTTGAGTTTTGTCTGGTATGTATTGGTCGTCTATACGTATTGCTTTTTCACTTTTTTGATATGTCAATAATTTTCCCTGTCATTTTGAAGCTAGTAACGCTAGGTTTTGTTGCTATTTTTGACGTCTTATGCTTTATGTGGACAGGCATTGATCACACCATGAATGTCTCAAAGCATTTTGGAGATTATGTGTCTGGACTTCTTGCCTCGAAAATCAGTTTTCAGCTGTTACCTAATTACATTTTTGCTTTCACATTATTATGACATTTAAATGGGCAATGAAAGAAGATCAGAAATGGATAGACTTATATTAGGATGGGTATGTGACTGCTGTCGGCAATTGACATGCATCACCTTCAGGTCTATTCTAATTCCTATTTGAACTTGTGCTCTCTCTCTCTCTTTACATAGATCCCTTTATATAGATAAATGTATGTTCTGTTTTGCTCCTGTGATCTTCTCCAAGCTCATCTCAACTCATTCTGTTTGAAAAGTTGTTCCCTCTTTTCCCCATACCAGTCGGGCAAACTGCAGGGAGGCAATCTAAAATAAGATTAATCTAATTTCAGATTATGACGTCACGAAAATGGGCGGAGCGATGACCATATAAGGAGTGATAATCAATATTTAGATTATATTTCCGACATGCCCACATTCAAACCCTCCATATCGGTCGAAGAAATGCTCATATCGGTGAGATTTTTTGCTGAGGTACAGACGAAACTCGATTCTACAGATTGCGAATGGACCGGCACATTTGAAATTGGACTTTGGGAGTTAGGACATGAATAGTCAAGGTCACCGAGGAATGGGCAAGTGCATTCATCTGTTTTTACTCCTGTTTTATCGTACTCATTAAATGTTCAGAATATTTTTTCGGCATATCTGAGATAAGAAATGTTCAATTATTCAATCCCACTATGAAAAGATCTGCCAAATACAACGCATTTATTGCAATTTTGCTACGGCGATTTACGGCCGCGATCTAGCGATGTCCGTGGCGCGGTGTATCCCCTCGGTAATAATTTTTTCCCGACGGTGTTTTTCGATGGAATGGTCCTTAAATGGTACCAAAATAATGGTAACATCCTATTCACCCAACAAAATTAAATTTGTGAGGTAGAAGGGTGGCGTTGCCGCGCTATCGGCGTACAAAACCAGTGAGTGTGTTTGATACGAAAGTGACGCAGCTCTACCCTCAGTCATTTCAACCTAGTTTTTTTCGCGAGATATTGTAAGACATGACAATTTTTTGTTATTTTTGACAACTTCAGACATCATTAAACAAATCCTGCATCTTTGGTGCCATTTCATCAAATACCTTTGTCTGAGTGAGTAGAAATGAGTGGCTCGGACACTTCCCTGAAAATGTAAACATTGTATTATGCTGTCATATTTCAAGCATGTATTTAGATTGTTAATATTTCTTCTTGAAATGTCATTCTATGTGTGTGGTGTGGGGTGCAGTTTTTACTTATAGTTGCAATTCTTTGAATGTTTTATGGGTATTTTAACCCGAAACTCAACAGTACGTATGAATTATTCAAATTTGCATGCCCGGGGCCAAGGCAGTGCCCAAGGGGGCTGCAATATGTGGCACTGCTGGGGAATCAAACAAGGTAGGTACCTAGGTACCTACCCTTCCAATAATTGTTGAGGGCCATAGGTCCCAAGGGAGACCAAAGCTGAGTTACCTCTGTGATTACGGAAGTGCTGCTGGCAACGACCTGGGACGAAATCATTATTAGGCCAGGTGGTTGTACATTAAGTTGTTATTCCACATTCACCCTGCCTTATATACCTTAAAAGGCTTTTGAGCCTAAAAAAACAAATATTTATTGCTAATTTCTGTTGTTTTATTCTCTAAAATAAGTTAAATATACTTACAGAAAGCCTGGTAATGTGCTGTATTTTTCTTTTCTGCGCTAGACTGGCTATTTCCCTGCACACGACGTGGCACTCCAGCGTCTCTTATTGTTGTATCATAATACTGGGGTTTATATCCCCTCAGATGCTAAATATGATAATCTTAATTTAGATTAGGCCAGCTGAATGTAATCTAATTTAAGATTATTCAGCTGATTGTGTAATCTAAATACAGATTAGTCAGCTGACGACATAATCTTATTATAGATTATTTCCCCATTGAGGCTGATTTTTTAATCTTAATTTAGATTATGTTCCCATCATAATTCAGGAACCCCAAAATTTTTCTAAGAGCTGTTTTGGTGTTTCAGAGGAAGTTTGTTATGTCAACTTTGCTTTGTGAAAGAGTGATGTGATTCTGTCACTCCTGGGCCACTACACAGCTGTTTCTGCAAAGGGCTGCTCAAATGCCCAAATATGGGCATAAAATAATCTAAATTTTGATTAATCTTTATTTAGATTACCTCCCTGCAGTTTGCCCAACTGATACCTACTGCAAAGAATGGCATGTAGGTCAATGAGGTGCATCAGCCCAAGTTCAAAATCCATACCAACCCTTCAGACAGTCAGAAAATCCACAACAAAGGGGGCTGAGAGTAATAAATACACCAAACCCAAAAATGGTCAGTCTAAATCATTACTGACCTCAAAGTAATTTATTCACTTATTAACTCACTGAATTGCAGGGAAGGTAATAGGCTACAACAAGGAAGTCTACATGATAGTGGTTTTGACTGGCCTCTGGCTGGGTCACAGCAGGGCCCAGGGGATGACCCACATGGTTGATGGGACCACCAGCACTGGCATAGTCCGTTCTGACTTCTGACCACCGCACACTCTTTTAGACCAGAAGGCACACTGAATTATATGTAGAAGCTCCAACAATGTTCTTCAATTTTCCTTGTCTATCTTGTCTGGTCCGCTATGTCCATCATGAAGCCAAATCTGCACAGCACTGCACTAAATCTGCACCACACCAGGCCAAATCTGCATGGCGCCACATTAAATCTGCATCACAGTTCACAGCAAAGCAAATCTGCACTGCACCAAATCTGCACCAGCTGAACAAGTCTGCACTGATGAGATTTCATCAAATTTGCCATATTTGGAAGACTGCATTACTCCTGCCTCCTTGAAGCTCCTTTGAAGCTATCGTCTTAGCACCCTTTTATATCCCCCTTCTGGATGTGGAGTGGATTTTAGGAACATTGTGTTCATTCTAGCAGTAGATGGGTGTTAGCTTATCTCCTGCTATGAAGCAGATTTTTCCAAATATTCTGCTGCTGGGATGAAGTGAAAGGTATCCCACACTAAGCCAAAGTGCTGTCAGTACCTAGGTATGATTTCAAGCTTTTACCACTAGACATTGTAATTTGATGTACGTTTTTCGGCTACTAGTCGTCTATTTGTTTTCGTTTCAAATTTTCGACCTTCGCGTCGAGGCCGTCGTCAAGAAACATTGCAACAAATAAACGACTAGTGGGCGCAAAATGACCTAAGTAGTCGGCGCGCCCTAAAGCCCCAATTAACAAACAAACAAACAATAAACGACTAGTACCCGAAAAAACGTACATCGAAGTACCTAGGTACCTGTGCATGCTGTTGGATTTCCAGATTTCTAAGCTCATTAGTGGCTTGTTTTGTTTGTCATTGGTAAGCTGCACAGACCTAATAAATTTTACCAATGAGAAGGAAAAAATCAGTTTGTGATCAAAATGGAAGGAAAATTAGACTTTCTGAGCTTTGAAATCTTTTGCTAAACTGATTGTCATATTTTGTAGGTAAGTGTCGTGATTTGTGGGATAAGGGGCTGCTAAAGAACACCCAGTCACTGTTCCCACTTTTATTTATTTTAGTAGAATTTCTTCTTCCTAAAAAATACAGCATTTTTTTACCCTAAGCCATCCTTGAAAATGTGATTGAAATAGCTACCTACATTTACCTACAGAGGCTGTAGTATGTTTCATTTCGCTTCATGCTTATCACATGAATAAATACTAGTTAGTTTTTTCAAAACCGTTTTGGCTCCATGTTCATTATTGAAGCTCTCACATGAGTTTTGGCAGCTTTGGGATAGGACCATGCATTTCTTAGCTCATACTGCTAAAATATTTTGTTTCAACTCTTACTTGGTAAATGTGTGGAATTTGTATTCTAACCCGCGCTGTGCTGGTGATCTGACTTTTCCCTGTCGTGCTGGGGGCGTGAAATTGTGCTGATAAAATAATGACTTGCGTGGAAAGTGTGTAGCAGGTGTCCTTTTTTTCCACAAAAAAACTTCTTTGGGCTGCGGACTTCGGAGTCGTAGCCTGTCGTTGTCGACGGTTTTGCCCGGAGTCTAGTTGTAATCGCCAAAATCTTACCCACTCCGACTCCTGAGTCGGAGCTAATAGTGGTTCTGGCCACTTGCTCATCTCTCGCCAATGCGGAGGCTAGGAAAGGTTGTTTTCAATGGATCTTGCTAGATTTTCTCTGTCATTGGCTTCGATGGAAAAGCTTGACCTTTTTGTAGACAGATCGTAGACGGGTCACCAGTCGGCGTGAAATATTCGTATAAGTTTTTTTTTAGCCCCTCATTGTCGTGACACTGCGACATTTCAATTCTCGTTCCGCGACATAGCCATGTCTAATGTCTGTCCTCCCGCTCGCCTTTGCTCTCCGTTGCCCCCTCCCTCCCGCCCCTCATCTGACGCCCCGCGCCGCCGGCCTCCCGCAGGTCGCCGCCGCCGCCGCCGCCGCCGCCGCCCCGGGCAGCGCCGTCCAGTCGGAGCGCGGGCCGCTGGGCGATGTGAGAGATGTGTGATGCTGCACGCAGATGAGCGGCCAGAAGGACGGTGATCTGTCGCCCTACCCGGTGCCGGTGCCCATCGGAGGCGGAGGGGAGCTCGGCGCGGACGGCGCCGACCCTCCGCCGCCCCCGCTACAGGTGAGACTACTGACGACGACGGACGAGCTGGGGCGAGCGCACGCATGTGCTAACTTTGTGGAGGATAGCGACGGGAAAAAGACAGCTCACGGTCTCACTACGCAGCCCCGAGCATATACCGTCGCTGCCGTAGCTGTGGCAACTTTTTTGTGTCGCCTTTTGAGATTGTCGGTACAGAAGGATATCCTATAGGCGAGATAGGAAATGGGAGGGATGGGGAAGGATGGGAGGCCTTCCTGAGTCAGGTGTGGTCACCATAAGTAACATGCCTGATATTGTGGTCACTGTTTTCATGTGTCGGTCCTCAGTAATTGCCGTTTCCTTGTTGTCTGCCTGATTGCTTATGAGAGGCTGTCGTTCGATTACCGTGCTGTGCTATCAGTGTGTAGGTAGCAAGTATGCCGATGCGTAGAAAATCGGTCAGAGGGAGGGAGCCGAACGAGGGTGAATGGGGAGGACGTGCGCCGTATCTGGTTTCAGGCACGTGTTTGAAGGCCAGTTTAGATAAGAGCTGGCCTGCTCGCGGCGGAATGCGACTCCTTGTCGGCGGGTTGTCTGAACATGCAGAGCCGCGCCGCGCCTTAGGTAGCTGTGTCGGCTCCTCTGGGCCCGCTCCGTGGCTGCGCCGGCGGCGGGTGGCCGCAGCTCTGGTGCTCGCCGGAGATGGCCGATTGGAGCGGATATTGTCCCCTTCCGTGACCGCGTGCCCCACCGCTGACCTCTGGCCGCTCTGTTGCAGCCCAAAGGCGTGGCTGTGGGCGGGGGCGGCCGGGCGGCGGGACGGCGGCCGGCGCCGGCACCCGAGCCGGAGCCGGGCGCCGAGCCGCGGCCGGCGGCGCCGCTGCCGCCCGGCGACCCGCGCGCCAAACGCTCCAACTACAACGACAAGGCGCTGCGCGAGATTCGGCGCTCGCTGCGGCCGTTCGCCTGTGGCGACGGGATCGGCGGCCGGCCGGCCGTCAGTCGCCAGGAGCTGCTGCACCAGCTGACTCAGCTCGGACACGATGAGGTCAGTCACTGGGGCAGTCACAGTCACAGTCACAGGACAGTCACAGGGGCAGTCACAGTCACAGCCACAGTCCACACCCATTGCCGCAGTGCAGTCCCTGACAGTTCAGGTCAGACACTGGTACTGTTGCATCAGTTGCCGGATGCTTACCTGCTTGAATGCATCAATACTTTGTAAAATTATCAGCATGGTTTTGTATAGCACAATATGTCACCAGACCTACGACAATAAAACCAATACCTCAATCATTTCGACATAGTGAGCTGGCATCCAGAAACAGATGCTTAGTTTGATGCTAGCCTTACGAATTCGTTTCACATATGCCGCCACTTGCATCCAACTTGTCCGATGACCCACCGATACACATCTTGCCATTGATGTTCGTAGAACCCGTTTCCTGGTCGACAAACGCGTGTTTGAGCTGTCGACTCTTTTTCTGTCTCCCACGAGAGGGATTTTACCCGAGCGATAATGCGGCCACAAGCCGCTCGGCCGCGCCCGAAACCGTTTGACGCGATGCAGAATCGAAAGCGAAAAGCCGTTGTCGAGCGGCCGGTTCGGTCTAGTCCGATCCGGTCGCGACAGCGTCCTGCGACTGCCGAGATCTGATGGCGGCGTCGATATGCTGGGCTAGACGGCCAGCTGGGGTGGCCGGCCGACCGACCGGCTGCGCACTGACGGCCAGCGCTTCCGCGAACCTCGCGCCGCCTCTGCCGCAGCCCCACCACTGGCATGTAGCGAGAAGGGGCGTGCGACGGGCCCTTGCAGACGGCTGGTCGCCGTTGTGGCAGCGTGCCGAGTGACCCGCTGCCCGGTACGGTTTCAACACCCACCCGAGAGCTAGAAAAGGAAGAGTTTCCGATGAGGCAACCGTGGCGGCCGGGAGCGTGCGTGACCTGCTGCCGCCGAAACGGAAACGCGAGCGGCGCGTGTGAGTGACGCTGAGTCCAGTGATTCAGAAAAGACGTCTTATTGCCTGACCGATACATACGGATAATCCATGTAGGCGATTTGGAATGTTGTTCCTTTGGCTAGTTCCTTCCTCTCGTAGGTTGGTTATTGGTTGTTGGTGGTCCAATAGCTCCTTCGCTGGTGCCAGCGGCTGCCGTGATCAAAGTGTTATCTTGGTCGCTGACTTGTGACTTCCAGCCATTCCAAACCGCCTGCTAAAAGTCACCCGGCTGAAAAGACAGAGTCAGCCACTCGGCGGTCATCCAATCAGTGTAGAGTTACAGAGCGAGGCTGTTGGCTTCGTCGAGACCAGTGATGTAATTTTCATACACAAACTTGGCTAAGTGTCCTGCTCCAGTAACCAGTTACACTGACTGGCAAAGTTTCCAGTTGCCCTGTGGTGATTGCTGACCTACCGGCGTGTAAGTTATTTTGAAAAGGTCAAAACGCGGCCTTTTACGGGACAATCATCAGTTCCTGTCAAAAGCTTAGGCTTTTGCATGATTTCAGGATTTTCAGGAGAGACCGTCTGTCGGTGTTACAAAGGGACAATGCCGTGTCCTATCCATTTTGGCTATAAGCGTCGATTTGCGATCATTCGTACATCATCAGTCTCTCATGATATCCACCTTATTGCACGCATCCGGATAAATTCACGGATCAACATGCGGAACCATCTACAAACTGCATTGCGGAGCATCTACCATGCGGACAGTGTCTGCGTATACATAGTCCTTGAGGTGGGCCTCTGTTTTGGCGCCGTTTGCCATCCTGAACCATTCCAACTGGTCACAACTGCTACGAGTCACGACGGCGAGTGAACGGACTGACGGACAAAGTTGACCAGCTCCTAGGTCGTGGACGAACGAATGGATGAATGATTGAACGAACGATCGACCGACCGGGTGGTGCAAGGCCGTGACCACATTGCACGAGCCACGGATGAAGCAAACAGGGCCATCTAGCAAGAGAGGGTGAGGCGAGCAGAGGGGCAGATGATAGCGTTTAAAGTGCAGCTGTCTATCGTCAGCTGGGAATGCAAGGTCACCTGATAGGGGTTGGCGGAAATCTGGTGTTTTAGTGTCTCTTTCCTGGGGGGTGATCATTATTTAGCAGCTGGTGTAGGGGAGGGGCACCGTTTGCTGGCTGGGAGGAGGCGACTTGGTGTCCTTCGTACGCGCCAGCGAGACCAGCCGGCCGGCCGGCCGCGGCTGAATGACGGCCGGTCACGTGACCGCTGGCCGTGAGTGGGCCCGACGGTCACGTGACGCGGCCGGTGCGTGCCGGCGCGCCGGTATGCGGCGGCGCCAGCTGCCGAACCGGTGCAGCGGTGGCTGGCCGTCGGTCCACCTGCCAACGGCGGCAGATAACGCCTCCGATGCGGGCCGGCCGTCTCCCCTTCTGTCCCCGCTCTGCTCTGCTCTGTCTGTCGGTCGGTGCCTCTCCCCGTGTCTCCTCGGGCGTGTCTCGGTTGGGCGCGGGGCGGCGGTGTTATTGCGCGTGCCGTGTTTATGTCGCGGCGGGGCCGCGCTGCTGACAGCGCCGCGCCGCTCGTTCGTCTGTCCTCTGGCACCGTGTGTGAGCCGCTCAGTAACGGCGCGCTGGCAGCCGCCGCGCCGGCCGAGCCGACTGCGCTTCGCACCCCGCGTCACTGGCAGCTGGCTGGCGCCCCTCCCCCCGCGCGCCGCCCCTCCCCCCACATTCCAGAGGGGGCGGCCGGGACGGGTGTCAGCTGGGTCGCGTCTCCGGCAGCTGCTGCTGCTGCTGCGGCTCGGCACCGGGGAGCTCGCGTGCCGAGCCACGCCGTGGCGACTTGGAGAGCACGGCGGCCGTTCTCAGAAGGGAGCGTGCTGCGGCGGTGGGGCCAGTGGTCTGGCCGGGGAACCCGCGCCGCGCATGTGAAATGGACCCCGCTCGTGTAGTCTGCGGCCCGCGTACGAATGATGACCGGCCGGGGATGAGTGGCGCCGCATCGGGCGCCGATCTGTCCTTGGCAGATGGGCGGCGCATTATCTGGCGCAGGTGATTGGAATTTCGTCGAGTGGCGGCGGCTGTGCGCCGTGTTTATTTGCGCTATCGTTTCCTGGTATGCGGCGGGTGGGCGCGGTAATCGTGATATAATTTCTAAACACGTCCCAACCGACAGATGGAAAAGGGCATTCTTTCGAAACGGACCGAGACGCTGGCATCTCGCCGTAACAGGAATCTCGCGAATGGTCTGTTCAAGGTCTTGGCTTGAGCTGGGGCTTCGTCGGGCGGCGCGGAGGGGGATTATTTTCCTGGCCATTTCGTTTCACCACCGGCGCGGGCATCCGGCGCATCAAGCTGGAATGGCGCCGGTATCGGGGGCTGGTGGGCCGTCCCGGCGCGGTGGAGGCCCGTGGCTGGGTTTGGAGCCGCTCGGCCGTTGCGGTGGAGGGCTGCAGCAGCCTGTGCGGGAGCCTCTTCCCGCCGCTGCCACCTCCCGGCGGCTGTCTGCCGCCCTCCCCGACGTGTGTGAAAGTGTGGACTGCTGGCGGCGGGCGGCGGCGGCGGCCGGGCCCAGTGAAAGTGACACGCAGCCTACCGCCGCCCCCGCCGCACTCCTCTCGGCACAGCCGGGCCCGTCAGCTCGACCATGTGATGAGCATACGGCCGGGTCTGAGCTGACGGCGTCAGCGGGCGCCGTGCGCCGGCGGCCGGCGGCGCTGCGCCTTTCGCCGGGCGCGGCCGTCCGGCAGTAGTACGCTGGCGGTGGGAGGGCTACCACTGGGCGCCGCGCCGCGCCGCTCGGCCGGCCCTCGTGCCGTAATGACCGCCCGCGGCGAGCAGCGGCCTTGTGGCACGTGGTACTGGTGTGCCGGCGGCCGGCCGGCGCCCCGCCGAGTGCGTGGCCCGCCCCAGCCGGGCCGGCGCCGCGCCGGCCGCGGCCGAGCGGCGGCTATTTCTGAAGCGGCGTAAAGCGTCGGGCGGCATTCCAAACATGCCGGCCGGGCAGTGACACCGTTAGCGGCCTCACGCATAGCGCGGCCTCCGCACGCGCTGACCTACCCGCGGGCCGTGCGCCGACTCGGCCTCATGTCAGGCCAGAAGACGGACCATCAGAGCCGGAGACGGGCAGGCAGCTGGGAGCCGCGCCGCGGCGTGCCCGCGGGGCGTGCGTGGCCGCGCCGCTCGGCCGCCTTTGTCTCGCCGCCTGATGCCGCCGGTGACGTCACCGGCCGGCCGCATTCCTGTGGCTCCACTGGGAACTGGGCCGCTCGTGGTGCGCCGGGAAGCCTCACAAAGATGCTGGCCGATGCGGTGAGCTGGATAGGCTGATACAGCGCGTGAGGCGGTGTAGGAGACACGCAGGACGGGTGGGGGAGCTAGTGGGTTCTGAGCTCGCAGCTGATGGCTCATTCAGATCAGCTATCAGGTCAGGGCGCTTCAGATTCGCCAAGGCGGAGAGCCAGAAATCTGGAAAGCTTTCGGGTAGACGTACCCGGGGCGTGGTTAGCCCCTGCCGATTTTGCTGCAGTGTATCATATTGCAGAGCGGCGCGGGCCGGGGAGCGGCCTGCGCAGGCGCCTCTCGCGTCCGACCTGCCCCCAGGCGGGCCGACGGCCGTCCGAGGTATGCGGTCGTCTCAGGCGTCCGGCGCAGGGCCCTGCTCGCCGGTGCCGCCGCGCCGTTCGAACGGCCGACGGACTCTGGAATGCGCAGAATGTGTTGGTTGGCGGCGACGGCCGGCAGCTGCGCCGCCCGTCCCGCTTTGTCGACGCTCTGCTTCCCAACGGTCGGTCGACGGACGTCCGTTGGGAGGGCGGCACGCGCGCTTGAGCGAGCCGCCGGAATCGGCCGGCGCTCAAGGCCGCCCGCATCTGGATCGGAACTAATGACGCGGCTGCAGCGCCGACGTACCGGCCGGGCCGGCATGCGTGAGAGGCGCGCCGCATTCCAGGCGCTCGTCGCAGGCCGAGCGCCGGTCCGCCGCTGCGGGCGGGATGCCGAGATGAATAGACGGGCTCAGAATATGAACCGAGACGAGACGGCTGCGTTGGGCGGTGCTCTCGCGAGCGTTTGTCGGCGCTGCCACCGGCGGATATCGCGGTCCGTCTGGAGGTGGCCGGAAGAGCGGCTCTTTGTTCCCAGTGGTGGTCGGGGTGTGCTGTTACCAGGCGGCTGTGCCGCACCGGCGGACGTAATTAGGTGGGAACTGGGAAGGGAGCCGCGCTGCTCCGGTCTAATGGACCGACGATGGCCCGGGTAGAGTAAAGAAGCCAGGAAGTGACTCGATTGGCGCAGACTGAACAATGTTGGTCGGCCGGAACAACTCGATGTAGAGTAAATTATCACTCTTATTTTACTGACGCTACATGAAACTATTGAATATTTTTCGTTTGGCATGTCATTGATAACCAAAGTGAGCGGATGTCGTGCGTGGTCAAGCTAGCTAGATGTCATTTAAGAAGTTTGCTCTTGAAGGGACAGCCTGAACCATCACTTCTAAAACTCTCTGGCGTTCCAAAACTGTATTTCTGGCGTTGCTAACTCTGTCATATTTAAGCTCAGTTCAATGGGTACATTCTACCTACTGCAAGACGCCGGGACATTGCCCCCGCGTTTATGTGCTTTGAGTCAGAGCACATAAACCCTAGCTGTACGTGTGCATTGTTGGCATTGCTGAATAAATTTTGAATTAGTCATTGTCGACCCTCGATGTTTGCCTTTCTTCTCTGGATGGTCTGACGACGCGCTGCCAATGATGTCGGAGTACAATGGTTGGGGCGTGTCATACAGCTATTTGTAGTATTTACGCCTGCTCTGTCAGTCATCGCGCTGTATTTTGCTGTTGATTAGCCAGCTTCGATGTATTGTCGCAGCTCAGGTATAAACCTCTGCAATCAATGACAAGAAAAGAAGCAGGTTTCAAATGAACAAGGAACGCTCAGAAAGGATCGAAACAAAATATCACTTCCGTCAATAGGCGGCGGAACGGGGAGGGCACCGGGGCACCGTGCCCCCCCTTGATTTTGGCATTTTAACATTAGCCCTGTGGACGTTGTATGGAAAAAATGGTACCAAGAGTCGGCAGTGCCCCCCCCCCCTTAATTGAAGGTGTTCCGCCGCTACTGCTTCCGTCGACTGACCACCTTCCTGTGAGTGCATTTCACATGTCTCTGTTCTTTCCTCTGTCCTGCCCCACCACACGGTCTATTTGCGCTTCTGCTCCTCTCATCATCCCGTACCTACCGCCGTTGTCTCTTTGTGCGTCGTGAATGGTGTCGCGTGCGGAACATTGCGTGCCCCCCCCCCCCGCCCTCCCGCTTCCCACAACACACGCACGGGTTTCGTTAGGCCCCGGATCGAATTTTGTGCTATTAAGTCGTTGTCGAGGAATGTATCCCTGGCTCGCTATCAGTTGCTGTGATCAGTGCTCTTCCTGTGTTTTGTGTTTTTCGAGACGTATTTTATCAAGCCTTTGTCTCTTTATTCGTGTTGAAACTGTCATTTCTCGTTTTGTGCGTCTTTGTTGATGCGATGTGCTCTCTTTGTGACGTAGTCTATTCATCTGCACCCGAGCTTTGTTCATCTGTTCGCGGGTCTCTGTCTCGATCTACGCGTTCCTCCTTGAAACACTACCAAGTACACTGGCCCCCATCCGTGCTATCCCCGTCCCTGTCTACCTGTGTGTACCTATGCATGTGCCATGTGGCAGCAGTGGCCGTGTGTCCCCTTTCGACTCAGCGACTCAGCGTACCTATATCTCCTATCCCAGTCCCCGTGCCGTATGTATGTGTGTGTGGCGGCTCAGCGTATATCTCCTATCCCCGTCCCCGTGCCGTATGTATGTGTGTGTGGCGGCTCAGCCCTATATCCCCTATCCCAGTCCCCGTGCCGTGTGTATGTGTGTGTGTGGCGGCTCAGCACTGTGCCGTGCCGTGGAATGCGGCTGGCGGGGCGGCCTATGTTTGTGTAGCTGTCCGCTCGGCAGGCAGGCCTCGGTCGGCGCTGGCCCCGCGCCCACCCCCGCGGCAGACGTCTCTCTCTCCTCCCGTTCCGTCTACCGGCACCCTCGGTCGGAACTGGCGGAGCTCGCGTGACGGTGAAAACGGCCCCACGTTGCGTGCTCGGTCGGTACTGGCCAGATGGTGCCGACGCTGGATGAAATGATATTGCCCTTCCTCATAAACCCGTGCATTCAAATGCCCAGAAGATTCAAGCTGTATGTGCTTTTTTATAATACTGACTGGTTTTCCGTTGGAATGTTTTCGGATAAGCTCGTGTCAGGATGTTCCCATCAAGTCCTCGTTTGTATGGTTTACCCATGCAGATAACTGGTGTGTGGTATTAGGTATAACGTGGCTGCTTCACTGGAGCAGAATATTAAATACTCTGTGTGTTTTTACTCGTCTGCCTCCTTTGCGCATCAGACATATTGTGACGTCACCGAGTCATATGTTTGTGTGACGTCATTAGGTGTTGTATGTGTTGCTGAGTTATTTAATATAAATGCAAAATCTATGCGGGTGGTGAGCCCCGTTAGTCACTAGGGCAACATCCCGCCGCAAGAGTGGGTCCTGTCATCCAGTGTCGATGTGGTCCGTGCGCCTGTGCATGTGACCGTTCGTTTTGTATCCCTAGCTATCTTTGACCCAGGCTGAGCGAACCTATCGTCAGCCGACCCGTTGTGACCTGGCTTTGACCTGTGCTGCTGCTGACCCAACTGTATTGAACTGACGTGTTACGACAGCATTATGATGTGCCTCCTTTGATTTGACCCTGACCTGACCCTGACCTGTGTTGACCCGTAACGTGGCAAGACTGTGTTGACCCGACCCTTGATCAGCTGACCTATGACCGGAGTGCTGTAAGCTCTCTGTGACCTGCCCTGACATGCGCTGTCGTTCTGTTCCAGCGTCAGGTGCTGAGTCTGACGGGAGCACGGAATCTGGACGAGCTGATTGGAGCGATCGGAGCCGCCGGACCACCGCGCTCCCGAGGAGCACCCAGTCCGCCCGTCAGCACAGGTGAGACCGGCCTCCGTCCCTGACCCCGTCTGTTACTCAGTTGATAGACAGACTGTGTGACTAGGAGACCAAAGACAGACAGAGGCGTCAACGTCGCAGTGGTGTATCGCAAGACTGAGGGTTGTGTGGGAGCTGCGCACTGGCCTCTTCTGCGTTTCCACAGTCAAATCGCACGGAATGTGCAGACGGTTTCGAATGTTTGTAACTCGTGGCATGCGGCGGCTGTGATTTCGGGTATGAGAGGCGCGCCTGGCTGAACGCTGCCATGCTGTATACTACGGGATTGCGTCGTGGTATGGCCGGTGACCGCTCTGGCTACCCTTGTCTGGCGGTTGGAATTCCGGCCTGGCTTGTGTCTTTCCCGCCAGTGACAGCTGCCCCCTCGGTGTCACCCCCCCCCCCCGTACCGCGGCGACCCGGCGGCGGCAGCCAGGCTGGCGCGACGTCTGTTTTCGCGCGGGGCGCGCAGCTGACCTCGAAGAAATTCCTCGCGGCGCTGACATACCGCCTGGATGTCTTCCAAATATTTACTTGAATTCCGGCCTATCGCGCACGGGCGGCGCCGACCGCGCCCGGTGGGTCGGGGGGTCCGAAACGGCAACACGGCGCCACTGCCGGCACCGCCCGCTGGAGAGAAGGGAGAATCCTGATATCATGTCAGCACGGTCCCCTGTGAATCGCCTGTCTTCTATCCTCTCTCCAGTACCGTCCGACGCTGCGATACTGCGCGTTTTGGGGACACCTCGGCAGCGTCCGTTTACCCGCACGGCTCTGTGAGGCGGCTGGGCGCGGTGCCTGGGGCCGCCACCCTGTCTGCCCGGCCGACCCACTGTCGGGTGTCATGCGGCGCGCCTCTGCCGTCCGGAGGGGGTGGGGGGCAAGGGGTCACCGCCACCGACCGACGCCATGCCGGCTGGGTCGGCGGCCCGCGGATCATCCGGCGCAGATGTCTTTCGTCAGGAGTGCACCGAGCTATCGTCACAGGCCGAGCGCTCGCGAGTTCGCGCTCCGTCGAGGCGATAGATGTGATGCGATACGGCAAGAGCTGTATAGGAATGCGGCGAGCTTTGCGCAATGCTGTCGCTCCCAAGTATGCGAACGATGCGGCCCGGTGGAAGGAGAGCCAAAAGATACAGGCCGAAGGCTATTTTTGTTTGATGGGATGCAAACATGTATGTCATTGAGAAATGTGGGGTGTTTGATGGGTTGGAACAGCTGCTGGCTGGTGTTATACTTGTGCTGTTAATTTGTCACGAGCATTTGTCTGTGTATAATTAGTTTATCCATCCCACCTCGATTATTTTGCGTTTATTACGGATTTTGTTTCGCCTGCCTACCCTGACTCTCTGTCCTCTGTTGCAGGTGGTCGTGTGACGCGCAACTCGAGTTTTGAGCGAGGCGATGGGTCTACCTACAGCCGCGGCAGTCCGGCGCTGGAGAGCAGCAACGGCAGCACGCGGTCCGAGAGCCCGTGCGGCGCCCCGGCGCTGCCGCCGCGACTCCAGTACGCCACGGCGGCCGGCTACTCTGCCGAGCCGCCGCCGCCGCCGCCGCCGCCTCGCTCGCTGCCGCCGGCGCCGCCCTCCCCGCAGCTGCCGAACCGCGTACAGCAGCGGCTGCGGCGCATGTCACCCGTCTCCGTGCCGCCGCGCAGCCAGCAGCCCAACTACGTGAACGTGTCGGGCGCGGCGGCGGCGGCCGTGCCGCGCGGCGCCAGCCCTGTCGGCCGCGGACAGCCGATGGTAGTGCACAACGGTCCGGCGGCGCAGCAGCAGCTGACGCAGCAGATGCAGGCGCTCAGTCTGGAGCCGCCGCCGCCGCCGCCCTACCCCATGACGGTGGCCGGCCGGCTGGCCACGCCGCCGCCGCCGCCGCCCAGCTACACGGCCTCCATGCAGACGCGCCAGAGCCCGAGCATATCGCCCGTGTCCTGCTCGTCGGGCAGCGTGACGCCCGTGTCAGCCGGCGGCGGGCGCGGCTCTGTGCTGCACGCGCTGCCCGCCTTCCAGGCCAAGTCGCACTCGCCTATTATCATGCAGTCGGTCAAGTCGACGCACGTGCAGAAGCCGGTGCTGCAGACGGCGGTGGCGCCGGCGCTACCCTCGTACGCGGCCAGTCCGCCGCCGCTGCAGCCGCCCACCTACTCGGAGAGTGTGCAGCTGAAGCGTCAGATGGCCGACGGACCGCCGCCCTCCGGCCAGCCGCCCACCTACCAGCAGACCCTAGCAGCCTCCAAGATGGCCCCGCCGCCCGGCGGACTGGCAGAGGCGGCCGACGTTACGCTCGTCTCCGGCGGCGGCGGCGGGCTGTGTGAGGTGGATATCTCCAACACACCTCTGGCCAGCATCACCAACGCCATCATGACGGGCGACTTGCCGGTCCCACAGCCGCTTGACGCGGACGACAAGCCCGAGGAAGGTCCGCCACCGCCGCCGCCCCTGCCGCCGCAGCGGCCGCCCGCAGTGCTGCCGCGCAAGCCGCCGCCGCCGCTGTCCGAGCGTTGCGACAGCCCGAGCTCGCAGGACTCGCACCCGCAGAGTCCTGTCAGCTTTGTCATGTCGGAGGACACGGGCTACAGCTCCGGCGCGCCAAGCAGCCGCGGCCTGCCGCCGCCGCCGCCTCCCCCGCCCTCAGCAGAGGCGACTGGCGACTTCAAAATGACCCACCAGTCGCCAATCCCCGAGCGGAAACGAATCAGCCGCGAGAGGGACGAGGAGCGGCGAGACAGCAAGGTGAAATTGTACTCTCCGCAGGCGTTCAAATTCTTCATGGAGCAGCACGTCGAGAACGTTCAAAAGTCGTGCGAGCAGCGACTGCAGAGGCGGCGCCAGCTCGAGTCGGAAATGTCCAAGAGCAACATGAACGACCAGACGCGGAACCAGATTCGGCGGATGCTCTACCAGAAGGAGTCCAACTTCATCCGGCTGAAGAGGGCCAAGATGAACAAGCGCATGTTCAAGAAGGTGAAGGTGATCGGTGTGGGCGCGTTTGGCGAGGTAACGCTCGTGCGTAAGATCGACACCAACCACCTGTACGCGATGAAGACTCTGCGGAAGAACGATGTGCTCAAGCGGAACCAAGTGGCGCACGTGAAAGCGGAGCGCGACATCCTGGCCGAGGCAGAGAACGAGTGGGTGGTGCGACTCTTCTATTCGTTCCAGGTGAGTGTCGCGCTGTGGGGTGGGGTGCGGGGTGAATGGGAGTAGATGTGGCTGTGGAGGGTTGAGATGGTAGGATGTTAGGGTAAGTGGAGGGATGGTGGGGCAGGGGGGGGGGTAAATATCATAGCAAAGGGTACTGAGTTCTAGTTGGTTTTGCTGGAACCTCTGCCCTCGATGGCTGTTTTTGGTCGGCAGTGTATTTCTGCTCATAATTCGTATGCTGGTTCTCTTTAGCGGTGATTTCGAATGCTATTAGCCGGACTCGATGGCAGCACACTTAGAATGAGGGACCTCCCATGACCTCGGCAGGTCCCCGGTAAAGTGTGCCAAATAAATGAGGTGGAAGTCAGCTTCCTGTGCGCCCTGCTGGCGATACAGAATATACACTTCTGCACAAACCCAATCCGATTGTCAACGTAATCCTCGTGATCCGATCTTCATCTAACTGTGTTTGGAGTGTACCACTACCATTTTGTTTATGTATGTAAGTTAAATTGTCCGTTTTACGTTGCCTCTCGGTGGTCTCTTGCCACGTTTTAATTTTCGCCTTTGTCTCGTTGTTTTCTGGCAACACTTGCGTTTGTCAACCTTCGTGCTTCAAGCTCTTGTTTTCGGAACGCCGTTAAGTTGTAACGTGCACTGTTAGTGACCGCTGGCCCTGTTTACGTGTTCCGCAGGACAAGGACAGCCTGTACTTTGTGATGGACTACATTCCCGGAGGGGACCTGATGTCGCTCCTCATCAAGTTCGGCATCTTCGAGGAGTCGCTGGCGAGGTGGGTAACGGACACCGCTGCGGCAGGAGTCGCTGAGTTGCGGGGAACGAGAGTCAAGGGAATGTGGTTCGGTGATGTGCTGCTTTCAGGTAGAGGAAACGTGCTTATCATCGTTATCAGGTTCTTGTTTTTTGCTTGTAATTTCTAATAGACCAGCTTTTTTGTTTGTGTTTCTTGCCTTAGGATAATTTTTTGTTTGCAATGATTGGGCAGAAGAGATGTTAAATTTTTCTTCAGTTACTTTACTTGTAATTACCCTTGTTACATATTGCATTTGTTTCATTGCTCTGATCATGTTTGATCACAGATCAATACTGGTAATTGTTATCATTTTTGAGACTTCATGGACCGGGAAGCGTTAGCAGTCTGACGCAATTCTTCTTCGTCTTCTGCCGGTCTTTCCCGGCCTTTCCGCACCTCATGCAGTCTGTAGATAAAACCCCTTTGTCGCTCAATGTCGCCACGTCCCCTAACGTCCTGTCCTCTCCCGTTCAGGTTCTACATCACGGAGCTGACGTGCGCGCTTGAGTACGTGCACAAGATGGGTTTCATCCACCGGGACATCAAGCCGGACAACATCCTGATCGACCGCGAGGGACACATCAAGCTCACCGACTTCGGGCTTTGCACAGGATTTCGGTGGACGCACAACTCGAAATACTACAGTGGTAAGTGGACGCCGTAAGGCGGAGGGCGGTCAGGGCTTTTCGAGCGCGGATGGACTGCAAATATTTGGGACTCTTCAGAATCGATGGGAGGTTAAAATAGTGAACAGCGTCAGTATGTCAAGTCTTTTGAGTGAGACCAGTATCATACACAATTTTGTCAAATCAGTCTTCCTATTTGTCTGTCTCCGGTGACTGCTTTCCGTTGGTGACGAGTCTATGTAGCGCACTGACACATCTGACAAGTGCTACCGTTCTGGCTACCAGTCTGAGGCGCTTCACCGAGCCACGGTGAGGCTAGTTTGTGTTTTCTGTCACGATTTACCCACACTACTTTGTGTACAATCTTACCGCCAATTTTTGCATTGTGCCTGGCGGCCGATGTACACAGAGAATGTACATATTATGAAATACGTATGATCCAGCTTCATACCACATTAGCACGCGGTTCGATGCTCCAGCTTCAGCTCCGCTCGGCATGCCGCTTGGTGTGCTGCGTGCTGCTAGATTACCCCGTTCCTGATTCCTAGATATGAACTGCTGCTCTGCATTTTATTCATTTTATGCTGATGATTTCCGAATGGTAATGATTCAATGTATATTGATCGATATATGTATACCTACTCCGTCTGTGCATGAACACTCGCTTTGGCTAACTCTTTTGTGTTATGTATCCTACCGTAATGCATCTGGTGCATGGGAAGTCTTATGTTCCAACTCCAGTCCTACCTGGAACTCCAGTCCTACCTAACGCTATGTGGTTCAGTATGTAGTTAAAACTGATCCGTTAGGGCACCCTGGAACCCCAGACGCTGATCGGCGATCATCATATCCCCACACCCACCAGTCCTGAACACACTACCTCCCTCTTCCCCTCTTCCTCTTCGACCTGCCCTGTGACCTCGTCTCTGATTTCCCGTCTCCTCCTGGCAGCGAACGCACACAGTCGACAGGACAGTATGGACCTGGCCGAGGACTGGAACAACGAGTGTCGGTGTAGCAACCGTCTCCACGCCGGCAACAAGCCCCTGGAGAGGAGACGACGGCGCGAGCACCAGCGCTGCGAGGCCCACTCGCTGGTCGGCACGCCCAACTACATAGCCCCGGAGGTGAGACACAGGGGCGAGAAAATGGAGGGATGCATGAAACGGGTGCACGTCAGAATAGCTAGTGACATTTGAGTTAGTGACTTTTGAGCTAGTACAGTCTGTCTTAAAAGTACCGCGCAAAGTGACGGTGGATCCATCGAGCCTGACTGAGCAAGGGTCTGCTAAATTTGGGTCACTGAAGCAACTGACATCCTTATCCATTCCCTAGGTCAATTGGTCGGTGACTTTTAAATTAAAACAGGCCCTTTCTCGGTCAGGCTTGATGGATCAACCGCCACTTTGCGCGGTACTTTTAAGACAGACTGTACACCACCACTCGTCCTTAAATAACAAACAACAGTGGGAGGGAAAAACGGACGGGGCTGGAGTGTTTCAGAGAGGGGTAGGCATGCCTTCTTGAATGTGGAGCCATTCTTTGTGGGTGGTTTTCCCAGAAAGTGTGTGCTATATTAGCATGGAAGTCAGCTTCCTGTGCGTCTGATCATTGACGCACAGAATATACACTTCCGAACAGTTGTAAGGAAAGTAGAAGCCTAGAAAGGCAGAATCGTTTACCGCAGCCAATAATAATAAAAAATATTGTGCTATTGTCCGTCAGTCCTTTATAATTGATGACTGAATGATGACTGCTAACTGCATTGCCAGATCCAGATTCAGAAAGGCGGTATTTGGATGCTGTGTGGCGGCTTAATCTAGAAAAGTTGTTCAAAACAACTCGGATTTTGCTTCCTTATGCGTTCTTGATCTTTCCTATGAAATTTGTTTTATTTTCTTTGCGAGGAAAATGGATAGCTTAATGTCAATATATTAGGAACGCTGCTGGAGGGTAAACTGCCGATGCCCCTCCCCACTCCTCCCCTGGATTGCCACTGGGTTATTGATGGCGCCATTTATATTTCATTTACGCTCGCGTTCAGGCAACACTGGTTATTATTTTTCTTCGTGTTAAAGGTACTTAACTGATGAATTTAGCATCAGGAAGTGCCATGAGTAACCTCTCTAGTCTCTTATAAGTGGTCATTGCTCAAGCTCGTGCTGAATGGATAATTATGTAACACACTGGTCTTCAAAGCGTTTTCCCGATTGCTAGTTATCCGCCAAGAGATTTTAATCCCTCAGAATATTCCGTTCATTTTCATCACCCTGCGTGCGGGTTCGTTTTTCGCGATCTGAAATCCTCCGCCAAGAGCGGCCGTCAGCTGACGTGACGTCACAGTTCTGGGCTGGCAGAACGCGCGCTGGCGTTCCTGTTGGTACCCTGGCCGAAGCGCCATCTGGCAACGCCCTGGAGGTTTTTCTCGAGCTCTTGAGAAAGTTCTAAAATATCTCAAGAGGGAATATTTTCTCCAATTCTAGCGACAAATTCGTGGAACCGGACCATCTCTTGATTTCAAGTAATATATTGAAGGCGTAATGACTGATTCAGAATAATTTAACTGCCTTTCGAAACAAGTATAGTGTCCACTTAGTTGATTTGCCTTATAAGACAGCAAAAGGGAGGGCCTCCTTTCGCCGTTGATCCCCGCTTGGCCGCGTGTGGCGCCACCTGTGCCGCGGGCGGCGGCTGACCTTTCGGCTCGCTCCGGCAGGTGCTGATGAGGACCGGCTACACTCAGCTCTGCGACTGGTGGAGCGTCGGCGTCATCCTGTACGAGATGCTGGTCGGCCAGCCGCCCTTCCTGGCGTCTGTGCCGGCCGACACGCAAGTCAAGGTAGGCTGAGCTGTGCTGGGTACTGGGCAGGATGGACCGTGTCTCTGGCGATAGCGGGTTACGGACAAAAGTGCGTATCGCTAAAGTACGTAGGACAAAAGTACGTAAGCAAAAGTACGTAGGATTAAAGTACGTATCGCAGAAGTACGTACAGTATAAAGTACGTATGGACAAAAGTACGTCAGGGACAAAAGTACGTATCGCAGAAGTACGTACAGTATAAAGTACGTATGGACAAAAGTACGTCAGGGACGAAAGTACGTATCGCAGAAGTACGTACAGCATAAAGTACGTATTAGTGATGTCAATTTCAGAAATTTTGGAAACCAATACCAAACCGATACCGACCAAAACCACTGAGATTATACCAAAACCGAACCGATTTTCAGAAATAGGGGGAAATACCGACTAGATACCGAAATCAGGGAATTATCAAACAAATGCTTCAAACTTTCTCAAGACATATGATAAGCCTTGAAAGGTACCTAATACTTTGAAATAAGGTAACAAAAACAAATCAGGCAATCTGTTAATTATTTGCATTGCAAAAAAAAAACATTTATAACTTATTTTGTAACTATTAACAAATATTCAGGTCAGTTATTTTACTGGAATGTGGATTCAAGTCAACTGCATGAGGTGTTAGGAAAATAACTTGAACCCTGAATCTTGTCCGTGCCTGAACCATCAAACCTTCTTTCAATTCAAGTCATTCATTTCGAGGCCGGTCAAGACAGGGTTTAGTGTGTTATCATGATCCAAAAGTGGTAACCCAATTGACAATGATGGGCTACACCTTGGGCTTGCTACACCATTAATGTAAACAAAGCCCATGATACCTAGTCCTACAGTTAAACCCAAGTAGCAGGGTGATTGGTGACGATACTGACGCAACCAATTTTTCTTCATAAACAAATGTGTAACACAACAAAACTTGATAAATAATTACTTACGAGGCACACTGATAGATAGCAGACACCACTGTAATGATATCGCGATGAAATCTAAGTAAAATGTCCATAATTTTACGGAAGCATTGACACACGTCACGTGTCATCTCTTCCATAATGGCGGCCTTACAGGCGGCGGCCATTTGCATTTGATTAAACTGTATAAAATAAAGTTTTTCTTTTCTTTTTTGCTTAAGTCCACTTAAATCAAAATTCCTTGTATAGATTTTGACATCTTAAAATTAATTCAAGAAAGTTGTAGGCCACTTTTGCTGAAAAATGAAGTACCAGAAAAGCATAGTTGTTCAATTATTTTCAATTAATTATTGAGCTATATCGGTTCCTCAACATGGCGCAGCTGCGACATTGAAATGTTTTTAGATGTGTTCAGTTTTGAAACTGCTGTGTGCGAGTCAAGCCAAAAGCCAATTATATTTCAAAGTGTTTATGATAAAATTGCTAGCGATCTGTATCTGTTGAGAGAGCAGGAAAGAGAACACTAATTGAAGAAAATAAATTATCCACAGGATCATGACAGCATCGCTCACTACAAGGCTTTTTGAAGTTGAGCGAAGTTGAAGATTTGTGGGCTGATGGGGGTGATGATGAAGTGACAAATGCTGCCTTAAATATTAGATGATAATGGTGAAGCTAGTGCTGTATTAAACAGGGTTTTGGATAATGTAATTGCATTGCAGTAAAATGGAGAGGAAGACAAGGTCAAGATCAATCACAGACTCCTCAAAACAAAGTCAAATTTGTTGCTAATAAATGCTTTGGAAATTTTGAGAAAGGTAGTTTAAGTATGTTTTCCAGCATACAGTGAGTTAAACATTAATTCATGTTTATGTCTTGCACATTGGCTTTCTTTGTAGGATAATTATCCTCATGGTATTGGAATTTGCTAACACTGATAAGTTGCCATTTAACATTGGTAGACTGATGTATTTGATATTACAGTTGTCAGTTGATGTGTTTGCCCATTTGTTAGGATATCATGCATTTGGGAGAAATGTGTCATGATTGCCATTTTTCTTCATCCAGTGTCATTTAGCAAAATCAAATTTGAGTTCAGAAGGTTTATCAAAAATGCTTTCAAATATTTTATGACAGTAGTTGATTTTCATGATACCGACAAATTACCAAATGCTTTTGGTATATAATACCGAATACCGAATCGGTATTGGTTCGGTATCGGTATACCGAAATTTTGGTAACCGATTGACACCACTAGTACGTATGGACAAAAGTACGTCAGGGGCAAAAGTACGTATAGCTAATGTACGTAGGGTAAAAAGTACGTATGGACAAAAGTACGTCACGGACAAAAGTACGTATGGCAGAAGTACGTAGGGCATAAAGTACGTAAACGTATGGACAAAAGTACGTCACTTACAAAAGTACATATAGCGAATGTACGTAGGGTGTAAAGGTAAAGACTCAAGGTAAAGACATTGGGCAAGACGCCCCAGATAATTTATTTTGCTACATAGGCCTACCTAAATTTTGTCCTACATCACCTGGAAGGCCAAATTTGTGCTCAATGTGTTCTTTGGACATTTTACTTTAAATTCCACCCCTCAAGTTTATTCACTTATGATCGGACTCCCAGCTAGGAAGTGATTTGTGAAGCAACTGCAAATGGGGCATTTTTTCCCAACCCCAGGGCAAAACGCCCCACGGCCTGAGGCAAGAAGCCCCATACTCTAGAGTCTAGCTTAACCCTCGCCCGCACATGGGGGGGGGGGTGGTTGCCACCCCCCCCCCCCAGGCAGTCTTCTGCTCTGCACTCAACTTTTTAGAGCTAGAAGGGATTTTTCGTATAGCTGCTCGTCTATCCTTTCTGATGTCCACTGCAAATTTCAAGTTTCTGTGATTTTGGGTTTCGGAGATATGACCCGGTTTTTCAGGTCCATATCATGACCCAAATGGCCAATTCTCACATCTTGCGTTTACCAGGGCCTTGTGAGCTTTTGACATCCTGATTTCGGCCTTTTTGCCAGTCTTACCTCCCACCTATCATGGAACATGTGTTCGACGATGTACAGGGGTCAAGGTCAGGGTCAGGTCAACCTAGGTCATCTAAGATAATTGCGTTTAGGCAAGCTGAATTTTACTTTTTGTGAGTTTTTTGACTGCTTTGGGTAAAGCTTCTCAGATCAGGATTTAATGTGATATGGACCCAAAACAATCGTGCACACATCAGTATACACACAGACACACAGACATACAAACACATAATTGACCTTGATAACTTGACCTGAAATGAC